ATGATGGACTTGGCACATATGGCCCATGACTATCCCTGCGGGTATTTAAGAAGAGAGGGATCGACGCTTTTCATAGAGTGCAGTTTGATGGGATCGTAGCAACACGGCGAAGTCCAGTGCCGAGTGATTCGAAATTTATCAAGTGTTATTTACCATGGACCATCGTGAAGCATCCCACGACCTTCGTCGAGAGGAGTCTGGCACTTACGGCATTGACGAGAAGACTCACGATTCAGCTCATGTTGAGAACATCAAAGGCCAAGATGTTGGTGCTATTAGCGGTCTAAGCCTCGAGGAGCAGAAGAAAATCATGTGAGTCGGTTACGGCTGCCTAACTCGAGGGAAAATAGTAACATCTGGGAAGCCGACGGATCGACCTGAGACTTCTCCCGATCCTAGGCATCATGTACTCGATCTCGCTCATTGACCGAACAAATCTTGGTCTAGCACTTGTTGCGGGCATGCAGGAGGATCTAGGACTGGCGGTGGGAAATCGGTACACAGTCATCGTCATGGTCTTTTTTGTTGCATACATGTAAGTCACTTGATGATTACATGTTTCGGTCTTCAAGACTAGAGGGAAGACTTGGACTGACAGAACTCTAACAGTATCTTCGAGATTCCTAGCGTATGCCACGACCCTAACAAGTCCAACCGATCCTCATTGACGATTCATGCAGAACCTTGTCCTCCCGAAAGCCGGTCCAGCAAATTGGCTGTCTTTCCTTGGCGTTGGCTTTGGTGCTGTGCTTATCGGCATGGGCTTCACAAAGAGCTGGGGCATGATGGCCCTCTGTCGTGCTTTACTGGGAGTTTTGGAAGCCGGTTTCCTTCCAGGATGCACCTATCTCATCACCTGCTGGTACACCCGTTTTGAAGTTGGAAAGAGACTTTCTGGGTTCTGGATTCTGTCCGTTATCACGGGTGGCTTCTCGGCAATTTTCGCATACGTCCTGACTCTTCTGAAAGGCAGGGGAGGACTCAACGGATGGAGCTGTTGGTGCCCCAGTCCTACGCGATGTTCTGAGGGTAATGCTGACAGAGTTAACCAGGGATCTTCATCATCGAGGGTGCCATCACTGTCGTCGTCTGCGCCATCGGCTGGTTCATCATCATCGACTTCCCCACGCAAGCTGGAAAGTTCTTGAAGCCCGCTGAACAAGAGTTCATTATCGCCCGGATCAATCAGGACCGGGGAGATGCCGAGGAGGACAAGATTGATGGGGCAAAGATTTTGCATCATCTCAAGGACTGGCGATTGTACTTTTGGGCATTCAACCTCATGGCCTCGACATTGCCCGGTTATGCTTACTCCTACTTTCTACCCATCATTCTCCGCAACGGCATGGGCTTCAGCAGCACCCAGGCCCAGCTGCTATCTGCCCCACCGTACGTCCTAGCTGCCATCATGGCCTATATTTCGGGCTGGCTCGGTGACCGGCATAAGATGCGCGGCCCCATCATTGCAGTGCATCAAGCTCTGACGGCTGTCGGCATGTTGATAACGGTCTATGGGAAGGCAAATGGAGCTCGATACTTTGGAGCTTTTCTTGGTAAGTGATCTATACCTGACGTGTGGCGCAGTATCTAACATTTGCTCTAGGCATCGGGTTCTTGCAGTTTTGTGTTCCCGGCGTGCTCACATTCCAAGCAAACAACATCACGTCACAATCAAAACGTGCAGTTGCTTCAGCGACCTGTCTCATTGGTGGTGGTGTTGGTGGTATTATCGCCAGCACAGCCTTCATGGCAAAGGAGAGTCCTCATTATACGGTAAGTTGAAGCTTATGACGTGACATCTCAGAGTATTTGAGGTTGCTGACTTTACTACATCAAGACCGGCATTTGGACAACCTTCGCTATTTCCATGGTGAGTATTCTGATGATCATCATCATGGACATTCACCTTTGGCGATGCAACAAAGCTGCCAAGGCAGGTCGTCGGCAGAATGAGGGTATGGAAGGCTGGATGTATACTCTTTAGTGATGTATGTTACCGTAAAGACTTATTTAAAGACTCTGAAGACGCTCTGAATGCACCCAACATCTACCGTGAAACCGTCGAAGCCTCCATGGAGACAATGTTCATTTTCTGATGGCACACTTTCCTGCCCTTCCTAGACCAGGGATGTGAATGTCTTCCAAGCCGATCACAAGGCCGGTTATCTTCAAGTCCATTGAGGGAAACACAAGTCTTATGATTGTGGGAACACATCAACCAGCCCTTACTTTCCCTCAATCGCCTCTGAGATAACCCCTAAGGCTGTAATGCCACTGCCGTCATGAGGACGCTACCATGGTTTGACTGTCAGTAACTGCATCCTAAGTGGCGGTCGACATAATTGGATATTTACTGACCTGAGTTCCGTAGAATCCTGTAATTGCTGTTCCAGGAGACGCGGTAACAAGGAAAGGCAGACTGCCAGGTGGATCAGAATGGAATGAGAAGAAACACGACCTTTCTCGATTTGTGGTCGCCTTCATGTCGTTCATTCAGCGTTAGTCCTCATAGAGTGAGAAGCTAGATGACTGTGAGTAACTAACCTTAAATGCCACCACTGTCCCTTGTTCGACCAGCCAAGGGTACCCTTCATCGGGGTAATGCTGGAACACCTTGACAGCATTAATAAATTCGCCTCCAGCTCCGTCGATCGCGAAGTCGATGGTCTTTGTCCACTCTCCCGGCGCCTGGCATCCGAGTGTTTTATGCTCCGAAGGGACTGGAATGTCGAATGCGAAGTCAATGCGACGTATGCCGCCACCACCCCAGATGACGCTGAGATTAGTGAGATTTCGAAGGTAAATGCCACCTGGGCCACCAAATGAAGTCCAAAATAAAGGTTTGTATCCGCTCAAGTAATGCTCCCTCGGAGGAAATGATGCTTCGTTCAAGCAGAGCTTTTGTTCCGGTACATCAGGATACCACATTCCCGATTTTCGCAGCATGCTTCCATCCCGTGCCGTTCTATTGGGCGATGAAGACTGACAATAGACAGATAGGCTGACAATTTTGCAGCCCTTTAAAGTTAGCAAATATGGGCAGCAACTTGACAGTTCGTTGTACTTACATCGAATCCAATGTCCAGGTCAGCAACGCGGTCACCCGTGTCTAAACGCAGCGTCTTGGGTGACCTTTCCGGACAGCCAATCCAGGGAGAGGTTGAAGATTCTGAAGAAATGCCCTGCAAAGCTTGAATACCCCTTGATCCCACGGCCAACTTGAAGCCGCGGAGGTCTGAAGTTTCCACAGATTGCTCAGACGCGGTCCAGAAACCAATTTGACAGATATCGCCTGCAGCATTGGTAAATTTGAGTCCAGTGACGTAACTCATGTCCCCCAACAGAATGGAACAGACAGAAATCCGCGATAAACTGTCAGGGATAGTCACACGATGCCTTTCGAAGAGACGAGAGCCCTTGTCGAATACGGAGTAACCTGTAACCGGCTGCTCCCACATCTCGCCGGAGACCTCTACACGCTGGGAAGAGTGTAGAGAAGAATTGACGCCACTCTCGACCCAACGGAAATCCAGAATATCCACCAGCTTCTGGGCTAGCTTCCAAACATGAACTCTGTTTTGTAGACTAAGCCCTCTACGCAGATTGTTCGTTCGGCGATACAGCCATCTCCAGTTTTGAGCCTCCGTGCTGTGCCGAGCCTCAAAGAGCCATGAGCGGTTTGAAGAGCCACCTCTGAATCTCGATGCCCAGAATTGTTGATTATTGAACATGGCCCAAAACGCACGAGAGGCCAGGCGAAGGTTCAAGACATCCAATGTCGGCAGATACATGGCGATCACTGACCGGAGCTCTTCTGGAAGTGCAAAAAAGGCGTCTCGTCCTGGCGTCGTTGACTGAGAAACCAATGATGTTGAGCTTGGTGGTAATTCAGGTTCTTCGGTCAGCAGATTCTGTATCTCTGGGACGTCGTACGGGTTCGTTGTGAGGACAGGATCGGGCTCCATGTACTCTCGATCGGAGAATCGGTCCTCCCATGGGAAATGGTGTTCGTTATCAATGAGAACTGGCCCCTCGTAGTCATGGCCCCAGCTGATACTCACACCATTCGCTGGGAATGGAAGCGATTCGCAGATGTGGAATAGTCTGGACAGTGGCACTTGTTCCGGATGAAAAGTCTTCTGTTAGAGATCCCAGCAAGCTTCGTGGAAAACAAATCCACGTCGTCCATTAACTTCACCCTGGCTTATTGCGCCAAATTGGTCATTCACGGGACTGTCATAGCCAGAGTCATCCCACCGGCCGTTGGGGTCGACAGGAGCAATGAAGGCGCCACTTCCCGGATCATCATATAAGCCAACACCCGTAAGAATAACGCCATTTGGGCTACTGGAGACTTGAGTAAAGTTAGCCTCCGTCGAAGAAAAAATTACTAGCGACAGTGCACTTACGAGCGCGGAACTGATTCAACCAGGATATGTTGCCCGTGGGATCGAGAATGACCCACCCGCAGAGGGTGCACGAGCATATACGAGGACTCATGTTGGTTGCAGGGGACGGTGTTGGGGGGAAGATTGAATTTGAGTAGATCCAGAAAAAAATAGCGGAAGACCTCTCAGTCATCTCGGAGTAACGTCTTGCCGTCTTTTCATTGGCGGATGGCACGTCGGAACCTGTATTTGTGTGCTGTGCCTGGGAGAGGGCGTCACATCTTACCAGACTACGGAAGGCCCTGCCACGGCCTATGAGGAATGACAAGAGACAGGGTTCTAAACTGTTACACAGAGTAAAGAGCGAACTCGCGGCAGCTTCCTCGTCTCTCTAGAACTCTGGGGTTTTGTTGTGGTTTGACTTTCATTTCCACTACTTCACACTACTATCTGATATAAGCACGGCTGTATTTCCCGTGTGCTCACAAACTTGAAGTTGCCCCCTGCATTGCGGACGACAATGTGCGACAGGACCTAGATGTAACGAACCGCGACGATGACTAGCTTACAGAAAGAGTAATTCGACCACTCTCAGCACATTGAGTGGGGCTATTATTCCTCTCGAGCCCGCTTCTGGGCTGCCTCGTTGTCGGCAGCGTTTGCCTTCTTGGGGGCCTGAACGACCATCGCAAAGTAGGAGTATATCTCCGCGGTGGACGGCTCGTTACCGTACTAATCAGGGTTCCATGTTAACTTGAGTCTTGAGATGAGCAAGGAGTGAACTTACGGCTATGTAGGAAACCTGAAGCTTCGATTCGCCATATTTCTTGTTCAACCAGACAATGTTGTTCGTGTTGAATCTGAGTTTCTTGGTGTCAAGGGCGTCCTCAAACATTTCCTTGATTTCGCTTTGGTATTCACACATCTCTCCACGGTACTGTGTACTGAGGACTCCGACAACTCTTGGTGGGTCGTACTCTCCGTCCTTTTCTTCGTCTGAATCGGTCTCCGTCCAATCGCCGCTCTTTTTTGACCTCTTCTTTGACGTACTCCTTTTCTTGACGGGGTCAACGTCTGCAGCACCGTCGGAGAAACTCCCATCGTCCAGTTTCTTGGGATTCCATCGGCTCATGGGGTTTTCGAGGATAGCACACAAGTTGACCTTCAGACCCAGGCTCTTGAAAATCTCGTAGAGCACCATGTCGATACCCTTGAGACAGAATGGTAGGCCATGTTCCTCCTGAGTATGGGGATAAGCGTATGTACTATAGACCCCCAGAAGTCTGCTCTTGGCCTGGAACTTCGTCGAAGTGACCATGGCTTTGATTTCTTGGTACAGTGGCAGCATGGTAGGGTTGAAAGCAGATGTCTGACCGGCGAGGGCTCCGTTTCCAGCGGTAGCATACAGGTTGTATGTGAGGGTAATCCTGTGGCCAGACTTGACCTCAAACACCTCATGTTCACAATCGCTGTAAAATGCTGCCCACTGAATCGAGGGCTTTTCGGAGTTCTCGGCCCAGTCAAATGCATGGGTTTTTCGTTATGTCTCACGGCAAGCTCGCCACCCTCGTGCTTCATAGGAAGGCAGACAACAAGTGAGCCGATCTGGTAGCTGGATCGGGGGGTATCCACGTGTGCTTTGAACTTGCCCGAAGGTCCGGAGTAGATCTGTGGTTAAGTCAGTCAAGCAAATAACAACTTTACCGTTCGAGTGGACTTGAACAAGGGACGGCTAAGGATTGTGATGAGGAAGGAAAGAGGTAGTGAGAGGTAGAGACGACGAGTGGTATCGCCGATGAGGGTCAACGATGACTGGGACAGGGAGTAAAATGATGATGACGTTGTGGGTGCAAAGAAAATAAGGCAGTGAAACAAGAGGCCTCGACGAAGGAAAAATCAGAGGCAGGAAAAGAGTCTTTCTCAGTAGAAAAGAAAAGGGTAAACACTTGAGACCACTCACGTTCAAGTTGTACAGCTCAGCGCGAAGTGACCGCTTGGTTTCGGCTGTGTCGAAGCTTGGGAGGAGGACCTGGCAAACAGCATCGATAATACCTGTTTCGTACAGGCAGAAGGTGGTGCAGAAATCATTAGCACCAAGCTTCTGAGCCTTGCGGTAAGTCTCATCAAACTCATGTCGTCCGTTCAATCCGAATGTTGCCTTCTCAGAAGCTTTGAGAAGATGCTCGAACGCTGCAGTGTCCTCGCCAGACGTGAGGGGGAAAGAAACTCGATGGGGTCCGGGGTGGTCCGCTGGGTTGTCCCACCGAAGGATAACAGGAGCGGACGAGACTTTCTTCTCCTCGCTCTTCTTTGCCTTCTTACTGGTGCTTGCAGCGCTAGGTTCTCCCTTCGGCTGCTCGATAGGAATTTCTCCACCGATGGCAAATGTGCCAGCAGCCAGATCTGCGGCAGAGATGGAAGCTTTCACCTGCTTGGCAAGCGCCCGAAGAGTAACCGCGGCAGGCATTTGGAACTGAGATGGTCTAATTTTCCTAAGTTAGCGCGGAATAATGATTAAACCTCAAATCAATCTTTGTCTTAACCGAGGCATTGGTTGTTATCTGTAGACGACGATGACGACGTTCGCGACAGTGACAATTAGACAACGCCGCCAACGTGGGTGAGACTAACGGGAAATTAACTGAATGTAAAGTGAGTCTACAGGAAAAGAAGTGAGCCTAGAAGACTAGTAGCACACTCAAGTCTGTATCGTAATGGGATTTGCGGCGTGAACACTGCTGAGCTGATGACGAATCAGATGGTATTGAGATGATAGAATGGGAGCGAGGTTTGGAAGAGCTGAGCTGGGGCTAGGAAAGCGGCTTAAGTATTGGTGAAAATTTCATCTCCAATGGTCTTGAACCTGTATGGTCGATGGATCCGTGTAAATGGTTCAGCAGCTCAGCGATTACCCAGCTCCTTACCACGAGGTGATACGTTGGATTAATTGTGGACGCTGATTGGCTTCACGTCAATGACTCTGACCATGGTAAGATCCTTACCTTAGGCTCAAACCAGGCTGGTGCGAGTGGTTGCCTTGAGTCTCCAAATATTCAGGCAGCAGGTGGAGAAAACTAGACGTCGCATTGTGCAGGCCCGTGGTATCACGCCACCCACAGCGGTAGCAGAACTACAAAAGCCCTCATATAATATCTCGATTCTGTGCGGAGTGCATGTATCTATAGCCAAGGTGCGCAACCCTGCTGTTTCCGGTTCCTAGTCAACATGTGAAAGTTTGGATGCAAAAATTGGACCAGCGCACTTTTAAGCAAAACATTCATCCAGGTACATTTGCGCTATGCAAGAATGACAAAAGGTCACACCAGCAGGATGCAATCTGAATCAGTGCGAATCACCATTAACGTCTGTATCTGTCCCAAAGCTCTAGCATTCTTCTCTAACAGATCCGAAAGAGGAAGGTCCCCCTTAACCCGTGAACAATATTTTCTGTGAACTTTCTGACTCAAGAGTCCTCCACACCCTTGATCACCACGGGGAAGCTGCCTTCAGAGACAGTCTGGTCTTCGTTCCAGAACAAAAGGTAGATATCTTGGGTGTCGGTTGGCTTGGCCCAGAACTGAGCCTGAAGCTCCGAGTTGTTATTGTAGACAAGCTGGGTGGCGAACAATGCCCAACCGTAGGTGCTTTGGTTGACGCTCACCACAGGAACCTCAGAGGTCAGACCCATGGCACGGTCCTCGCTGTCGGTGATAGTGAGGTATCCAGCAGAAGTGCCGTTGACGAAAGTTCCGTTGACCTTCCAGTTCTGGCCAGTGATGGAAGGGAGATTCCAAAGCATGGGCTCAAGGTTGGCGGACGAGTTGTCGGGAGTTTGAGTGATGTAAAGGTATCCTGGAAATCGGTTGTTAGCTATGGAACTGTCCAACACTAGATGACTATGCGCATGCAGTGCTTACCATCATCAATGCCATAGGCGATAGGCCACGACGAAGAGTTAGTGCCGTACGCAACCAAGGTGGCATTAGTCTCAGCCTTTCTCTTCTCAATAGTGGAGGAAATGGCGGCGGCACAGGTGAGACAGGCCTGCAACAGACCAAAGACTGCGGTCTTGGAAAGATACATCGTGATTATTGGTGCGCGATAACGACTGAATGAACGACTGGAAAGCAATGGCAAACGAAGGTAATGGCCGTTGACCGAAACAAACCGAGCCCATCCAGTCTGGATCCAGAGCCATTACATACCTTAACTTAAGTCTATCCAACAACTCACTTGCATGTAAAAACAAGCGTCGGCAATCAATTCACAAGGCCTATCAACCCTACTGAATCCCCCACAATATGATGTTACCAACCGTTGTGGATTCAACGCTAAGATTCCAGATGAGGGGCAGTTGCGAGCAAGATGGAGCTTCTCATGCCATTTAGCCTACAGCACAGGCCCGAAAATGCGGGAGAAGCCGTTGGAAGGTCTTTTTAAGGAAACATCTTGCATTTGAATTCCTGGTTAGAATGCTAAATCCTGGACGAATGGAGTTGTCCTTGAATAATTGGAGCCGTCTTCGGACTACCTCCACTTTCGGGGCTGGCGATAGTGCAGTGCTATGCTTCGTGTCGATCGTCCCAAGTTTAAAGTACGCGCAACCCCCTTTCGTCATGAACCTCCGTGGATGCAACACCGATAACCCCTGCAAGTGTGCTTGTCAACGCACTCTAATCCCTAAGCCCCCGGTTTGCTTGAGGCTTAAACATACGCCAAGGTCGACAAGCTTCCTGCCGTTAGCCGTTGTCCAGCTTAATTTTGCCGTTCTAGACTAACAATGGCAAGGCATTGTTTCTAAGCGGGACCTGTAAGATTAGATCGCTTTGTGTTCGGGCGCAAAACACTGTTGTGAACAGGGATTTTCCCGCTCCTGATGGCTCTAAAGCAACCGAATCAATCAGCCTCATGAGCTTTCCACCACATTCCGTTTGATAGACAGGGAAACTCAACGCGATGTTGTGGGAGAAGAAAGGGTTTCCGGCGGAAGTTGCCGTTGCAGGTCATCGCAGAGTGCGGTTTCCATTACATCACGATGGAATGAAATCGGGGTGCCCGTGAGATGCACTTACTTATCAACCGTTGAAGCGCCCTTTCCTGTGTTTGCTGTTGCTTACTTCGGCACGCTTTGTCATTCGTTTTTGGCTTCACGCCATTAGTCTGTCTTTAACTTTGTTTCTTACTTCCAATCGTTCGTAGTCCATAATGGTTTCCGCCAAAACATTCGCTACCTGGGCAGTTGCCGCCATTGCTGGCGTTGCCGCTGCTCCCTCTGAGCTTCACCATGTCGCCCGTCGCGACTGTGGAAGCAAAGGGAACGCAGTGTCTCAAGCCGAGACTGCCCCTGTTGCCGCGACCTCTCCCCAGACCTCTACCGACGGCCAGACTACCAACGGAGGTCGAACCACTACCGGTGGCCAAACTACAACCGGGGGTCAAACCTCAACCGGCAGTGAGACTACCACCGGTGGCCAGACCTCTACCAGCGGCGCGGCCTCATCTGGCGATGACAGCACCTGTGTCAACAGCCCTAATAGTCGCCAGTGCTGGCTTCCAGGTTACGATCTGACGACCAACTACTACGAGAGTGTTCCCGACACGGGTGTTGTCAGAGAGTACTGGTTCAACATTGAAAACACCACTGCTTCCCCTGACGGCTACGAGATGCCCGTCCAGTTGATCAATGGATCCTTCCCCGGGCCCACCATCATCGCCGACTGGGGTGACACCGTCAGTAAGTAGTAAATCATAGCAAAGAACTTGCATCTTACGGAGGCTAATGGCATCCGGTAAAAGTTGTTCACCTGACCAACTCCCTCCAAACCAACGGAACTGGTCTTCACTTCCACGGCATCCGTCAGAACTACACCGACCAGATGGATGGCGTACCCAGCATCACCCAATGCCCCATCGCTCCCGGAGACACCTACACCTACAAGTGGCGCGCTGTTGAGTATGGCACCGGCTGGTACCACTCTCACTTCTACGTTCAGGCTTGGGACGGTGTGTTTGGCGGGATCACTATCAACGGCCCCGCCACTGCTAACTACGATGTCGATCTCGGTCATCTCTTCCTGAACGACTGGTACCACGTAAGTGATCGATGGCTCCAAACTCCATTCAAGGGCATGGACTAACCGATCTCAGCAAACTGCTGATGAGCTCGTTTCTCACGCTGCCACCGGTGGCCCGCCGACTGCAGTCAACGGTCTCATCAACGGAACCAACACGTACAACGACACCATGGGATCCCGTTTCGAGACTGTCTTCGAGGCTGGCAAGAAGTACCGCCTCCGTCTTGTCAACGCCGCTGCCGACAACCACTTCCGCTTCATGATCGACAACCACACTATGGAGGTCATTGCCAACGACTTTGTTCCCATCATCCCCTACAACGCCACCCAGCTCAGCATCGGCATGGGTCAGCGTTACGACATCATTGTCGAGGGCAAGGAACTGACTGACGGCGACTTCTGGATCCGCGCTATTGCTCAGGAGGCCTGCTCCGAGTCTGATGCTGTTGACGATGTCAAGGGTATCCTGCGCTACTCCAACTCCTCCACCTCCGAGCCCACCACCTCTGCCTACAGCTACGACGACTCCTGCGCTGACGAGCTGTCCTCCAACCTCATTCCCCACCTCGCCATCAACGTTTCTTCCGAGTACATCTCAACCGATGAGAACGTCGGCGTCATGGTTCAAGACAACGCCCTGCTTTGGACCATGAACAAGACTTCCATGCACACCCAGTGGGAGTACCCCACCGCCCTCCAGCTCTCCCAGAAGAACGAGACCTGGCTGTCCACGCAGAACGCCATCCGCTTCCCTCAGGTCAACGAGTGGGTCTACATGGTCATCCACTCTCCCTTCGCGCAGGATCATCCCATGCATCTTCACGGCCATGACTTCTGGCTCCTGGACGCTGGGTACGGTAACTTCGACCTCGATCAGACCGACCGTCTGACTCTTGTCAACGCCCCGAGAAGAGACGTCGCCATGCTGCCTGCTAGTGGTTACATGGTCATTGCTTTCCCTACCAACAACCCTGGCGTAAGTCATTCCGTGCACTTTACTTGCCGAGTTTCTTGCTAATTATGTCTCCTAGGCTTGGTTGTGCCATTGCCACATCGCCTGGCACACGTCCGAGGGCTTCGCTGTCCAAATTATTGAGCGCGAGTCCGAGATTGAGTACGACGGTGACGCGCTAAACAAGACCTGCACCAACTGGTCCAACTACGTTGCCAGCGTTGACCTGATCCAGTACGACTCTGGTGTTTAGATATCTCAGCTGTAATGGCAATTACGGGGGTCGAATCGGTGTAATAATTCAAGTACATAGGTTGCAAAGTAAAGCGAAATTTCTGGAGCCAATGGCATGTCATTCTTTACCTTGCAAATGCGTTCATAATGCTTGGTGACGCTCACTGATGTGACACCTCGGCCTGCGATGACTGTGAATGTGCAGAA